AATGAATGAATGAATGAATGAATGAATGAATGAATAAATAAATAAATAAATAAATAAATAAATAAATAAATAAATAAATAAATAAAATTTTAAAAAGCCAGCCAGCTTGCCCAAGTCAGTGGATAGATTCTTGGGGCCCCACCCAGTTTTTTTGTTTATTCACTTAACCCATATCTTGACACCTATGTTTTACAGTGGCCAGAAACCTATTGATGATCTACAGATGCATAAGTGAAATAGCATATGTCACACTGTAAAATTGCTGCTAATTAACAAGATTTGCACGTGCCCAGTTGTGTTACAGGCATATGTCCAGGAATGCAACCAGCAGTCTGCTAACTCTTAGCGCTTTGTCACAGAGATGTATGCAATTTCACATACACATGTGTACATTGCCAAGAGGATTTTGACCATTGACCTGGAAAGCTCCATTCTGCCTTGCTCCTAGTCTGTCTTCAAAACCAATGGGCATAAGATCTGGACTGTTTTGTTTTGTGTTTTTTGTTTTAATGATCTTCCTCTTCTCCTGCTCCTGAACTTTGTGTCATCTGTCCCTGATGGGTGCTGGAAAACTTGAGAGTTCACTACTTGAACTATTTAGTGCTGCAATAAAGATATTACTTGACCCAGAATTTTGTATTCACAAAAGGAAGGCCATATCAAAATTTGTTACATGAAGGAGCTAGAGTTGGTTTTGTGGATTTTAACTTTTTTCCTTGCCTGAATCCGTTTAGGTCTGATGAAAGTCAGAGTCTTCTCATAACTCCTATTTCATGGAGTTCCAAGCTCAATTCCAACAAGTCCTCGCTGAGATTTGCCTCTAAGTCTTATGCCCCCCTAACTTTATGCTTCTTTTGCTATCTTGCAGTTCCAATAAAGGAAGAAATAAACACAAGTCAGTTGCATGTGGTTTCCTAGAAATGTTTGTGTGTGGGGGGGTTGTCTGAAAAATCCAGACAATTCCATCTATGTACACCAGATGAGAAATAAATTGATTCAAAGAGCACATAGACTGGTTCATTAAAGAGAAATCTGTTACTAGGTTCTCTGCAGGACATAGACAGGAGACTAAGGAAGCATGCATTGCTGTAAGGAAAACATATCACTTCAAGAGGACCTGCCTTATCATGAAGAAATAAAAAGCAATTTGTTTCAAGCAGCAGATTTTAAAAGGGACACTTTTCCATGACTTTGTTCTCCATCTCATCCAGTCTTCCTAAATACAGAAATATTGTTATTTGTTCCTTTAAGTATGAAATATCCCAAAATATTCTGAACATATCTGTAATTAGCAAAGAACTTGGGATGTATAGAAGAAGCTAGTGAGCAATTTAGGGTTAAAAAACCCCACTAAAAGAATGTTATTGCTTTAGCAATTTTAATTAATCTCATTTTAATATGATATCAGCTGCTGCAGCAGCCTTTGGGCTTAGCATATGATATGTAAAGTTAATAATAAAAATAAAACAGCCTAAACAACATAGCAGTGCCCTTTGATCTGTAGATAATTAAACAGCCAGGTTGGCAGGTGTGCTGTGGGCCTACTTAGCAGCTCTTTCAGGACACATCCCAATGATCTGGGCAGAATAAGTGGGAACATCTTCCTTTAGCAAGGAAGGGTACCTGGGACAAATTGCAACAGCCAGCATAGGGAAACAGTCTTATAGCCAACATCGCCTTAGTTCATCTCACCTTATTCTTGATCAGTCATATAGATGGGCGGCCCAATCTGTACCTTTGCCAAGTAGGAGAAAGCGACAGTAAAAGGTTGATTTCTCCCCTATCACTTGTCCACAGGCTTGTTTTAGATGCACTTGAGATTGTTCTGTCATGAATTTCAGCTCTCACAGTTCTCCTATATAGCATGCTTTTCATTCAGTCTAAGGAGAAACACATTCATGCTCTTCCCTTTCCCCTCATGCCTGTGAGGGATGTCTGTAAGTCTCTTTATTACCTGCAAGAGGTGCTGTTTCAGTTTCAGAGAAACCTGCATGCTTCCAACGTTTTTAGCTCTTTCGCTGGGAAGTGCTCCAATGTAAACGCATGAAAAGCGGCTTTCAAAGCCCATGAATTCCCTGAGCATAGTGTTGCCCTTGTTGAAACAGGGTGGGTTTGCTGTGGTTTTCTTGGTTTCTTTGATTCAGTGCCTAATGCAGAATGTGGATAAAACAGCAACTCATCTCTAAACCCAGGGATTTAGGGCAGGATTCTTTAGAAGGTCTAGTAAACAGTGCTGCACTCTAATCCTGGGAGCAGGTTACTACCTGCTTGCTTCATATAAACTCTGTCAGCCACGGCGATTTCACTTTGCGGATGGGTTGCAAACATGCCCTCAGGATTGAAATGTTTATTGCAGGAGAGAAGGGACTGGAAAGTATCTCTTTGGAAAAAGGGAAGATGAAGAACTGAACACCCACCAGAACCGGATTGTTGGTGCAATTGTCTTAAATAAATAAAGATAAAAATCTGCCTAGGCATTCGGTGATATGTTTTCTACAAAGGAACCCACAGATAATCAGAGAATGGGATTGCTAATTTCACTGATCAGTACAGTGATGACTGCTGCATTCACCTTGGTATAAGCCTTAGTACAAGTCTTAGTATAAGGCTAATGCAGCTGTTGAGGGACGTGGTGGAGCTGTGGGCTAAATCGCAGAAGCCTGTGCTGCAGGGTCAGAAGACCAAGCAGGCGTAAGATCGAATCCACGCGACGGAGTGAGCGCCCGTCACTTGTCCCAGCTCCCGCCAACCTAACGGTTCGAAAGCATGCAAATGCGAGTAGATAAATAGGGACCACCTCGGTGGGAAGGTAACAGCGTTCCGTGTCTAAGTCACACTGGCCTTGTGACCACAGAAAGATTGTCTTTGGACAAACGCTGGCTCTATGGCTTGGAAATGGGGATGAGCACCGCCCCCTAGAGTCGGACACGACTGGACAAAAATTGTCAAGGGGAACCTTTACCTTTACCTAATGCAGCTGTATCTTGAACAGAGCACTGTGTGTCAGAGAACAAAACAAACAAACAAAAGCACAAACAACAACAACAAACCAACCAAAAACCCAGGAGGTTTATAGCTTTATAAGCCCAATGGCATAGCATTGATCCCACACTAACATATTCCATAGAAGGCTACTGGCAATTGTAGAAATCACCTCACAACATACAGTAAGGACTTTTGTCATGATCTTGGAACCAAGCAGTGACTCTGACACCAACATAGAAGACGCTAGGACCATTGGGCTGAAGACCCCTGAGTCTGAAATGCTGAGAACTGTAAGGCTCTTGAGCCTGGCTCTACGTTTGCAGACTCTAAGCTCCAGCACTGGAGCAATGTAAAAGCTCCAGAAGCCATAAAGCTGCTAAATCAACCCTAACAGTATATTCAGCTTTTCGAGAGGGACAGGGAGCGTCAACCTTCCATTTTGTATTAAGAGATGGAATCTGAAATGGGGGTTAAGAACTGAATAAACAAAGCCTTCACTTTGTTTTGAGCCAATGGCTCACTAAGAGCTCTCCTAGGTGCTGCAACATTTTGCTTGGCTTCCTGTTCTGAAAGTTGTGGCTTTCACTTCAGACCAGGACATGACTTCTTCACGCTAAATTTTCCATAGGCTATGCACCAATCCCTTGGTGCTACTCCCTTCTGCAAGTGCCTTAAACCACAAAAGGCAAGTGTTAGGATACCGATGTTATTTTGCATGGACTTGAGGCCACCATAAAAAAAAATAGGAACATTTTCTTTGCACAGTGTGCAGAGACATAGCCTCAACCTCATCTTCCCTGGTGGCTTGATATCTGGAAAGGCTTGGAGTTTTTAGCTCCCCAATAGTTATGGTCAAAATGCTCTATGCTGGTTGACTCTTTAATGGGAGCTGGTATCTTGCACAAAAGGAACAAGGCAGGAAAAAAAGTAGATAAGAATTTGCTGTTCTTGAGTAAACTGCTGAGTGAGTGAGTAAGTAAGTAAGACAGGCAGACAGGCAGACAGGTAGACAGACAGACAGACAGACAGAAAGAGTGAGAGTTTAGAATTTTTTTTTTAATTCATTGATTCAAGAGCAGGCAGGTGGTGAAACTCACAATGGAGACCATAGACTTCCAGCAACTTATTTTGACTCTGGACATCCTTCATTTTTACTGCTATTTTGACATTCCAAGATATGCTCCCACAAAAGTACACTGACAAAGTTTACTAAAAACCTGTTCCCAGCATACTAGGAATATTTAATAAATAAAATTGCTATGATGATGTTTATGACTATCTCTGAAGTGAATCCTATCTCTGAAGGTAGAAAAGTAAAATTACAGGAGTCACATATACACAGAGACATAAAACTATGGAATCAAGTACTAGTCTGGAGTACTGAAGAAATTGTGACTTACAAAATCTTTAAATTGTAGAGGCCAGAAAATGCTTCTCCTGGGATGTCAGAGAGTAGGTTTCCAGATAGACGCCTGTAATAAACAGAAGAGACAGTGTCAAAATATAACACTTGGAAAATCTGGTTGGCCTTTTTTGAGAAAATATAATGATAACCTAAACTAAGCATCTTGCTATACCTCTCAATCAGATCTTGGTTTGTACCTATGGGGAAAGAAAGGTCATTTCAGGAAGAAGGAATTTCTAAGAGTGTGTAAAACCACACTGATATTTTTTATCTGTCTGCTGAGCATTTTCATTTATACTTCTCTTTCAATGAGCTCAAGATAACATACCTGGCTCTTTTTCTGTCTGCCTTACCCATACATTTAGTACTGTATTTTAATTGTAGACTTTCATATATATAATGGACCTGTCCTGTTCCAACATCTCTCATCATCCATGCAGCACAAAATCTTGTCTGGAACAAACTTTGAAAGGCCATGCAACACCATGGGGGTGGTAGTGGTGGAATATGTTCCTCTGGTGGATATAATTCATTATACAGTAGTTGTTACTGTTATAGTTGTCTGGTAACAAATACATATATGTTATCATATTGATAAATTTAGCCACGTTCAAAATGTACATGAGAAGTTAGCTATTCTGTTGTTCTATATTGTGTGCAGAAGCAAAATTACAGAAGCTGTTATGGCTGTGCTGGGCATGCAACCAGGTGCATGATCAGGCACATGACCAAGTGTGATAGACAACATATCCATTAACTGCATTGGTTTCTTGATTTCTTTTCTGCAAAAAGAAAAAGAAAAAAATATTCTAGCCAGTAGCAGTGGAGGCTGACTGATTTTGTGGGAGGAGTGAAATCAGATCTTGGTTTTAATTGGAATGTTAAAGAAACTATCCAAAGTGCTGAACCTATTTTGGAGCAAATGTTCAGTGCCTTTGAGAGCTGTAAAGTTTGGAGTAAAACTGTAGTCCACAGACCATACTTTGCCCACTCCTGGACTACATTTACTAATGGAGATAGATAGATATCAACTGTGTGTATATATATGCACTGACATGCTGTGTAGGCATCCTTCAGTCTCAAGAGACAATCATAACGTGCTCTGTATGGAGGACTTGGAACAGCATCTAGTGAGGCTGAGAAGGCCAGTTCAAGAGTGACAATCCCTTCCACTCTGAAGACAAATACAATCTGTCCCCTGTCCAGCTCCCTGACTTTGTTGCTTTCGGGACTGCCTCTATGCCTTTGCCTCTTCAAATTTGAAGAGGCCATGATGCACTGCTGGCCTCCAGGTTGAACACTCAGATGTCAAGGTTTCTCATCTGTGGAGGTCCACTCCTAAGGCCTTCAGATCCTGCTTGCAGATATCCTTGTATCACAGCTGTGGTCTCCCGCTCAGGTGATTTCCCTGCAATAATTCTCCATACAGCAGATCTTTTGGAATCCGACCATCAGCCATTCTCCCAACATGCCAAAGCCAATGTAGACGTTGTTGTTTCAGTAATGTATACATGCTAAAACTTCCTGCTCATTCTAGGACTACTCTATCTGGAACTTTGTCCTGCCAGGTGATACCAAAAATGCATCAGAGACAATGCATATGGAATGTGTTCAGCTTCCTCTCCTGCCATGCACAAAGGGTCCAGGACTCACTGCAATACAGGAGTGTACTCAGGACACAGGCTCTATAGACCTGGATCTTGGTACATTTCATCAGCTCCTTATTAAGCCATACTCTCTTTGTGAATCTAGAGAACATGGTAGCTGCTTTGCCAATGTGTTTATCCAGCTCAATATCTAGGGAGAGAGTGTCACAGATCATTGAGCCAAGGTACGCAAAGTCATGAACAACCTCCAATTCTTGTGTGGAGATGGTAATAGAGGGAGGTGAGTCCATGCCCTGACCCATGACTTGTGTTTTCTTCAGGCTGATTGTTAGTCCAAAGTCTTGACAGGCCTTGCTAAAATGATTCATGAGTTGTTGGAGGTCTTCAACAGAGTGGAGAACAATGGCTGCATCATCGGTGAAGAGGAAGTCCCGCATGCAATTCAGTTGGGCTTTGGTCTTCACTCTCAATATAGAGAGATTAAAGAGCTTTCCATCTGATCTGGTCCAGAGATATACACCTTCTGTTGCAGTTCCAAAGGCGTGCTTCAGCATGACAGCAAAAAAGATCCCAAATCACATATGCATGAAAATTAGTACTTAAAAACTCCTTTCACTCAATGGGCCATGTCACCTACACATGAACTGTACATAACTTTCACCACTTCATGATTCAGAACAGTATGTATGTATTGATGGCACTGAGAAAGATTTTCAGACAACGTGGGAGTTCTATGTGAGATGCTGATCTGTGACAGCACATTCTCACATATTGAGCATCATGTAGTGTTCTCACCTTCGAGTGATGAACATGCATATCTGAACCAGCAAAATGTCTCTTGCATTTCAATGTCTTTATGTTGCTCCAGCCTTCCCCAACTCATTGACCATGTCAGTTAGGAATTATTGGAGTTGTCCTCCAAGATATCTTGAGGTCCCCACCTCTAGGCAAGGTACCCTAGTGGGCATGATGGGTTGAAAAGTCATGCTCAAACAGACTGTACAAAGCTAGGAGTGAAATTGTGCTTTAAAGCAGGGGAAGTCAGGTCTGGGGACTTTGCTAAGTACAGTATACATGGGAACTTGGTTTTGTTCTGTTCACCCTTTGAAAGGAGGGAATTTAAGGTGTGTATGTACTATGTACGCCGACGCCACAAGCCAAGAGGAAGGATCACCTATGTCAACAATGCTATCAACATTAGTTTCAGTTCTATATCATTAATCATAGGCTATTTCTCCCTGTGTACTCTGATACAGTAGCATTATCTGCACATGGTGCCAACCTCATTTCATTCCCAGTATTTACCTAAAAACCCATTTTAACTTAAAGATGTCATTTTGTCATAAATACTGTCTAATGAAAGATGAATACTGTACTGATATCAGAATATGGACTTCAACAAATTTTTGGGATGGAAACAGAATTGTTTTATATTTCACACTACATTACATACATTTTGGCCATCACAGAATTCTTGAAATTTTCCCTAGGCGTGGTAGCAACTTCAAAATAATCTGAGTAGAACTATGACAAAGTAAACTTGATTCACCCTTTGGGTAGTTGCTTCCATCCAAATAACAACAAAAAAGTCAAAATTCACCAAAAAAAGAGGAAAACAAGCCTCATTGTGCAGCGGTTGAACTATGGCATTTCAGTGAAGCCTCTCCTCATAACCTGAGTTCAATCCTGATGAGTTCAGGTAGCTAACTCAAGATTGAATCAGCCATACTCTGGACCTGGTGTTCTCGACTGCAAAGGTGGATAGCGATTTGAAAGCAGGAACAGTGAGTTCCTGCCCTCTATCATGGACTACTTCCTACTGAAATTTGACCTATCGTGACCCCCCTCCATGAGGAGAATGGACCCATGAAAATGGTCTGCCCTCTCAGGCTTCTTGACCTGGAACAGTTCCAAGAGGTTCTGTGACAGCACAGAGGGCTTCCAGCTGACCTGATAGACAACCCTGTTGGAGCTCCAGATAGATGATATCTGGAGATGACCCGGGCGGTTGACACAATCACCCCAAATGCCCTCTCCACTCCAGAGTTCAGGCTGTCCCTTAGTATACTGAGGGGTGGTGAGCTATGAAGTTACCAAAGAGATGGCTAGAGAGCAGGTGGAGAAGAGATCAGTTGGCACAAAATAGGACTGCAATTAAGATTATGGCCAATAAATATACTAATGCCCTTAAATGGGAAAGAAAGACCTTTAACATCTGGAGGATTGGTGAGGCTGTGAATTGACAAGTGGAATTGTTCTGGCTGGTCTGCAACCTTACCAGTTCTGGCCACTCAAGGCCTTGTTTAGTGAATAGGTTGCAGCTTTTTTAAGAGCAAAAATCAAGGCCATACATGCTGACTTTGACTCTACCAGCAGCCTAGCTGATCCAGGGGTGACCATGGCTGCCCCATCTCCCATTGCCCAGCTGGTTCAGTTTGACCCTGTAGTAAAGGAGGGAGCCTCCAGGGTGATGGCTAGCTGTAGGCTCACTGCATCATTGCTGGATCCTTACCCAGCATGGCTGATCAGAGCCACAAAGCGGGCTATGACTGATTGTGAATGTTATTAATTCATCATGAGGGAGGGAATGCTTCCCTCCCATTTTAAAAAAACCATTGACCAACCCATCATCAAATATCCCCAGTTAGTGTTGGACAACCTTAACAATTTCTCTCTGATCACTAAATATACCACTTCTGGGCAAGGTGATCGAGAGAGTGGTGGCTAATCAGCTGAAGTTATACTTGGAGGAGCAGGATTGCCTTGAGTCTGGACTCAGGCCACAATGGGGTATTGAGATAACACTGGTCATGCTGCAGGATGACCTTTTAAAGGAGGCTGAAAGGGGCAAATGCACCCTGTTGGTACTCCTAGATCTCTCAGCAGCTTTTGATATCATGGTATCAGCTCTCTGAGGTTGGAACTGGGGACTTAGCATTGAGCTAGCTCTGATCCTTCCTCAAGGACCATCTCTGGAGAGTTCTTTACCTAAAAACCCATTTTAACTTAAAGATGTCATTTTGTCATAAATACTGTCTAATGAAAGATGAATACTGTACTGATATCAGAATATGGACTTCAACAAATTTTTGGGATGGAAACAGAATTGTTTTATATTTCACACTACATTACATACATTTTGGCCATCACAGAATTCTTGAAATTTTCCCTAGGCGTGGTAGCAACTTCAAAATAATCTGAGTAGAACTATGACAAAGTAAACTTGATTCACCCTTTGGGTAGTTGCTTCCATCCAAATAACAACAAAAAAGTCAAAATTCACCAAAAAAAGAGGAAAACAAGCCTCATTGTGCAGCGGTTGAACTATGGCATTTCAGTGAAGCCTCTCCTCATAACCTGAGTTCAATCCTGATGAGTTCAGGTAGCTAACTCAAGATTGAATCAGCCATACTCTGGACCTGGTGTTCTCGACTGCAAAGGTGGATAGCGATTTGAAAGC